CGCGGGGGGGGGGGAGAGGGGAGGAGGGGGCGGGGGCTGGGGGGTGGCGAGCACGGCGCCAGCTGCTGCCGTCACTGGGTCCATGCCTAGGAGGACAGACGGAGGGGTGGGGTGGGGGTTCAAGGCAAGGTGGGCCGAGGGGATGCCAATCCCCCGCACTACAGACAGGTGGGGATTGAGGTAGCCAGGTGGGGGCTTAGAGACAATGTGGGGGTGTTGAGAGACTGCAATTGGTTTGGCCCCAGGTATGAGCGCCCCCATTGGGACCATGTTGAAGTGTGACACCTCCATGTCTTCTTCAGGTGTAAGTGGCATGTACGTGTGGTGCTGCTGCTGCTGCTTCATACTGTTCTCTCTCTCTCGTTCTCGTTCCCGTTCTCTCTCTCGTTCCTGTTTCCTGTGGAGCTCTCTGTCCAAGTCCTTCTCCAGTTCCCACTCTCGGCTCGGTGCCAGGCTGAGAACTGACGCTGGAGTTACAGGGGAAGTAACGCTGTGACTTGATGTGGATGAAACAGGAACCAGGCCGGGGTAAGGGATACCCCTCCCCAACATGGGCCCCACTCCGGGATTCATCCCGCGGCTCAAACGGCGGACCTCCTGCTCCACGTCCACCTCCTCCCGGTCATCTCGCTCCCGTTCCTTTTCTCTGCCTCTGTCGTCTCCCTCTCCTGCGCCACCGGAGGGCAAACCCAGGTCCCACGGTGGAACTAGAAGACGGAGTGTTTGTCGAGAGACCCACACCGCCTGGGTACCGGCAGCTGTCCCTCTACCATCTTCTTCCTCAGTCGCAGAGTGAGGTCCTTCCTCAGACAGCAGGACGCGGTAGCGGTTGGCCACCGCGGGGTGGGTGTCGACCTGGGTGACCACGCCTTCTCTGTACCACTGCCACTGCCCCTCGATTCCCTCCTCGTTGCCAAAGGGTACACAAACACGGGTGCCAATAGCTATAGGATGCACACCAGGGGGCGGGGCGTCCAGAATAATGTCCACCACCCCCGGGGGGCTGTCATGTCGGTAGGGGTAGCGACACATCATCTTCTCACCGTTGAGCTGTACCTCTAAGCTTCCAAACTCCCCACTGACCTTCCGCACCACTCCGGCCCTGAACACCAGCTCCGACCTGGCCCCTTCGTCCCTCCTGTCGTGTCCTGCTTGGTCATCGCTCCTCTTCCTGAGCTGGCGAGCGAGGACGCGTTGATTCTTCAGCCCTTTGGCCAGGGCGTCTGACAGGGCGTCAGGGATGCCGGACGACACGTGCAGGGACATCTGCGGAACGGCATGCGGGTCGACCGCCACTTCCAGGTCGGCCGAGTGCTCGCTGGCGGTGTCTGTGGAGGAGCAGCGGGGCAGGGGGGGTGACACTCGCTCTTCTCTTACTTCCTCGCCTGCCCCCGACCTCTCCCTCTCCCTCTCCACACCCAGTGACAGAGTCGGGGGTCCCGGGGAGCCACTCTGGGTCCTTTCTCTGCCGGCGGTCCTGCTGTGGAAGTCATCTAGCATGCTTCTACCGTTGTGGTGAGAGTTGCTCACGTCACCTCCTGAGATTGTTGGCCCATGGTTGAGAACCCCGACACTCAGGCTGAGAGGCGAGGGCGTGCTGGAGGCGGGGTAGCTATTGTTAGCAGCAGTGGCAGACAAGCAGTGTTCAGACGTGTACTTCTTCTTGGGAACGCGGGCCTTGAAGGTGGCCGTCTTTCGGCTGGAGGCTGGGTTGGGACTGTTGTTGGCGCTCGGAGTACTACTGTTACTACAACTGCTGCCGCCGTCGCTGTGGCTGTGGCTGCCAACGCTGGCGGCAGATATCCCCGACCTGTCGTCGCAGGGTGTCGACAGCTTCTCGGAATCGCTCACAAGTGACGCCGTCGTCTCCGGCAGTCCGTCTCTGTAAAGCCCCTCCCTCTCCGCAGTGTCCTGCTCCCTGATTGGGTCCACCTGAGGGGACTTTGAGTGCAAATTAAAGGAAAACGGAGTGGGGGAAGTTGACATCGGCGGTGATCTGCTTCTGTCTCTGTTCTCATCTGAGTCTCTTTTCTCACCACCTTCTGAAACTTCGCCCACTCCGCGACGTTTCCCCCCCTTGGCCCGGGTAGAGGGAGGAGAGCGCCGGTCCTGTTTTTTAATCGGCTTCATCTTTTCATCTAGCTTGGTGTTCCTCCAAACAAGTCTTTTAGATTTATTTATTTATTCCAGAGATTCTCCTTGGCAATCCACTTGTTCTGCTCTGGGTTTTCTCTTCCTCCTCCTCCTCCTTTCCTTTTTCTCTATTTTCCAGTCCTGCCAAGGCCTCTCTCTCTCATCCTGTCTTGTCTCGGCTTCACTACTTGGCCACTGAGTTCCAGAGACTCTGAAAGAGAGGAGACAGGGTGTGTGGGTTACTGGTATGGCACTCGCTCACATGCATGCCTGCAGAGAGTCTTTTCTCAGACAGCTGTTAACGACACAGCGTTCAGAGAAAGAGCGAGTGACCAATCAGATCAAAGAATTCCAAAACGGGAGAAAAAAAAAAAATTAAAAAAAACGATCACAGGTGACTGCATCTGCTGCACCGTCACACCGAGGTTACCGAAGTAACGACGTACAAAACTTATTACTCGTAACTGGCCTGCATCCAGACCGGGGACGTAACCAGAAGAGGAGGAGGAAGAGGAGGACACGACGAAGGGTAAACACGAGGCAGACTCACCACACTGGATGGAAATAGTGAGGAGCACTTCGCAATTTGCCCAGACAAGCCTTTCTGCATGCACTCTCTCTCTCTCACACACTCTCACACACACATAAACACACTACTCCTTGGCCGGGGCAGTAGAGGCGGGGGAATTCCTTCTTCACTCACATACTGAAACCCTCCCTTTCTTTCTCTCTCTCTCTCTCTCTCTCTCTCTCAACCTTTATCTATGTATTTCAAAGCAGAGTCATTCCACCCCTACAAACTCCATTTCCTGTGGAAGACCATTACCTAACTTCCTGTTACTTTATGCCTCTCCACTCGCCGCCCTCTCTTCTCCCTCTCTCTCTCTCTCTCTCTCTCTCTCTCTGCTGTATTGATTTCTACCTCTCATCTCCAAGGTTCTGGTGTCTCCTTCCTCCTCATTTAGCCTCTAACACCATTTCTGCGCTGCAGTCGTCCAGAGCAGCGCGCTTGTTTCTGAATCATTGTCATTCTACACCAGAGTCACTCAGTTCCCCTCGCAGACGTGAAAGGGTCATTCACAATATCTCCCATTCCCACTCATTCACGGACGGGACCGCGAGGCTGCACGACGTCGCACTGGAGAAACCAGAATACTTCAGTGTGTGTGTTGATGTTAGCACGTCTGCTAACAGCTAAATGAAACGTTTGGCTGGTTTAACTCCGTAGGACGTGGTTGGTGAGGGGCCTGGTTTACCACACTGAGACGCAAACAAAACCATGTGACACTGACGTTTTCTACCTGCACACAAATGACTTTTTTAAAATAAAAAGGACAAAAAGCCAAATATTTTTTGTCTGTTCTTTCTGCCGTGTCACAGCTCACACTGGTCTTGACCTCCTCCAAACTACAAGCATTAAAAAAAAAAAAAAAAAGTGAGAATTGACACATCCGACCGTAAACCGTCGTACAAACCCAAACTGAAACATTCACTGTCAGTCCGTTCTGGACCGACGTCCGTCAACCACCGACAGGCTCTCGTCTACTTGTCAGTCAACTGTCTGTTGATGCACACGCTGTGGGCCTGTCTGCCCCCCCCCACACTTCTGCCTTCTTCCTGTGTTTTGTCTGTCAAGGCCTGCATTCATTCAGATCCTTTTAATTTCTGCCACATCATATCAGCTCCAGAGACAACCGTCTTTCAGAGACGAGCGTCTCGTGTCTCAAGGCCTCGCGGCTCACGGAGCGGCTCCTGTGTGAATCCCTATTTAGGACAGACAGACGTTCACGCAGCAGCAGCCGCCGCCATAAAGCCACTTGGCAGCCGGCGTTACTTGGTCAGCGCAGAGGTATGTTACGTGTGTTTACTCAGTAGCGCTCCGTGTACAACAGCTGGCGTCGGCGTCGTGGGCCTGACGATAACGGCTTCAAGACAAACTGACGCAACTCGCACTCGGCTCGGTGAAATACGGAGCAGGGACGGCGGTGCAGTGGACCGTGTCTCAATGTCCACTGATCAAAGCTGAGCTCTCAGCTCCAGGGGTTGAACCACCTCCTCCTTGACTGACGTGAGAACGCGGTGGAACGTGACGGGACTGTAGCGTGAACGACAACATGAACCGCTGTGTTTGTGATTTACTACACGGTGTTTAGGTGACTTTGTTAACCATGACGAACAGGAAGTTACATCAGGTTGGAAGGAGGAGGAGGAGGAAGAAGAAGAAGGAAAGGAGGAAGAAGAGGAAGAAGAGGAAGAAGAAGAGGAAGAAAAAGAGGAAGGAGAAGAGGAGATAGTTCAGAGCAGGACGGTGTTTTTTCGGAGGCTGGTTTCCATGTGTGGTAATGAGGTTTTTATTGCAGCTGTGACAGTGACAGAAACACCACACTGCTGCGTGTTTGTGTTGCTGCCTCCTTCTGTCCTTGTGCTGTTATTGTCCAGGGAACCACCACCAATGGCTTTCCTGGAAATACAGCAACTCAATTAATAAGAAAACGCCACAGCGTTGGTTCTGTATCCAAAACAATAAAGAGGACGCCCGTCCGTCCCCAGGTGTCTCCACACCACCGACTTTATTACTCTGCCGTAACGCAGTACAGACTCTGAGGGGAAGTACCGGTGTCCTTAATGGTACCTTGATACTGCTGCATCCTTACGTCAGCAATTAAACACAATGTGCTGTGGACAGAAACTACGTCTTTGTCCCGTGGACTCTAACGTCCCTTATTAAAAAAACAACAAAACAATGTGAATTTGTGTTTGTAGAGACATCGGTTCTTTGAACTGTCTAATAGGTCTTCAGAGGTTAATTACCAGACACACTGTGCTGTGGTACTTAAATCACCTCCGCCTTAGTACAGTATGTGTATTATGTCTTTGTTGTACTGCAGTTACTACGACTTACCTCCAAAGACAGCAGCCCTGGGCTACTGTAATAATCGGCCTGAAAACTAGTATTTTTTTATTGCAAATATTTTTTCTTTTCAACGTGTGACAGGCAGCGCAATTAAATCCTCTTCTGCTAGGTGGCAGCAGATGGCTATTAAAACTAAAAAAAAATAAAAAATTAAATAATCAGAGCTGTTGAAGAAGATCTTTGTGAGTGTCTTTCTTCAATTCCTGCCACTACATCAGCGTTGTCTTCAACTAAACGAGGTTGAGAAACACTCCTTTAAGCCACTTAAAACTGGGATCCCCAATCCCCGGTCTGGGGGCCGGTGTCGGTCCATAGGTCATCTGGTACGAGGCCGCAGTGGGACGCAGAGAAAAAAAAAAGTACTATAGTTTTACTACTTTACTTCATTCTAAGATAATCTGTCAATGTTTCCAAACAACAGGTCAAAGGTCATTCAGACTCAGATACTAACAGTACATGTATGTGTGTCGTGCCCTCGTAGTACCTCATTTACTACAGTTTTACTGCACTGCACACCAGCAGGACAGTACATGAACAAACACCACACCTCGGCTACGCCGTCGTGAAGACGGAAAAGATCCGAGTCGGACCAGATCTGGCCGCTCTCCCCGTCGTTAGCCTACAGCAAACACATCCTGGGAACGGTTCCGCTGCAGCGAGGAGTCCCAGGAACATGTGCGGGGACTATTTTGGGACGGTGCCTGGCAACATTGGGAGATCGGTGGAGGGGGGGTTTTTTCTGCTCTGTAAGACTGACTCATTTGTTACTGGTACTGTTGGTGTTGTAGTTTCAATATCGCGTCTTTAAATTTCAATGTCCAACATGGCAGCGACAGGGGTTTTTATAACTCATAACTGCCCACGTCATGAAACTTCAAGACACCAGTTTGAACCGTTCCACAACAACACTCGCATTATTATCACCAATAAAAAGAACGAAAAACAAATTCATTCGTTCCTGCCCTTCAGAAATATAATATTGATTAATTAAAATTAAAAATCACCAATATAGATAATATAAACAAATATATTGATAATATTAAATAATAATAATTAAAACATTATATTATTGTTATAAAAATGGGTAAAATACTCGATGTTTTAGTCTCAGACTAGTAACTTGGAAAAGTTAAATTACTTGTCACTGCGACGACGTATGACCTCATCTGTGTTTTAGTCACCACCAATGTGACGGTGCCAGGCTCACAGCACCTCGCTGGACTTGAACCTGAAACCTTTCAGAACCTGTTCTGTTTCTTTCACCACCACCACCACCACCACCACCACCGCTGCTGCTGCTGCAACGTTATCATTTACTACACTGCAAACTACTGCAGGTTACGTCATCATCATCTCTGGTACGACCATATACAGCGTGTGTCACGACCTGGTAGTACCGACTAGTACAGAGGTTAGTACTAGTTTACACTGAAATTAACTATATTATTTAAGCATTTTGATAAAAGTACACGAATGTACGGGCATATATATAGTATTATATATTTTTGTTATATGTTTTTGGAGCCAAAACATTGAGCTTGTGTGTTTATATTTTTTATATTTTACTCTCTTTAATAACAAAAAAACCAGAGGCCTCAAAGAGACCTCCATCAGTAGGACGTTGGACTGTGGTCCATAAAACCTGGGTCAAGAAGACCGAGGTCCCTGTGGGTCGCGAAGACGTGACCCTCAGAGTTGGCATTGTGGTCGTTGGTCACTGTTTTTTCAGCCCAATGACAGACTTGTGTCTGCGGTGGACGCTGCTATGACGTCCGGGTGTTTCTGTTGTTCATTTTTAGACAAATATGTTCGACATCTAGTCCGAACGAAGGCCATGGTTCTGTTGGGAACTTGGTGTCAGTGTTTACAGGACTCCCAACAGAAGGTAAACACAAAGGCAGGCCTGGGTGGAAACAGTTCCTGGTACTGTTGCCTTGAAGAGCCCCGTGTGTCTGTGCGGCTACAACACCGTTGATAACAGCTGTTAACTTTATCAGGGCAACAAACTGCGAACTACTGATGTCGTCACCTCAGCTCCAGCCTGGTAGTACGTATATGTGTCATCGTGCCCTCGTAGTACTGCGATTACTACCACTTTTTTTTTTTTTACTACACAACAGCAGCAGCAGCTACAGGCCGTGACGTGCAGACACAGACCAGGCCTCAAAACTCCACACCAGGCCTCCTCACCGACACCGGGAAATAACCGGTTTAACGTCCACACTGATCCTTAAACGCCACCTTAATGCCACAGGAGCCTCCACCGGCGCTAGGCTGCGTGTGTGACGGAGTTAAACCCCCCACCTCCTCCTCTCCGCCAAACGAGGAGGACAAACTACTTTGTCCATCCACAATAACAACAACACCAGCAGCAGGGACAAAGTCGTGTTGTTTAGGCCCCGAAGCGAAGTGACAGTAGTCGGCGTAACTTTGACTTGACCCTCGGTGTCGTTTTGTGTCGACACGAAAAAGAAAGGGTCAGAACTGAGGTTTTGTTTTTTGTTTTTTTTCGTGGAGGAGAAAAAAAAAGGCCCTAAAAAAAACAGCACATTCATTCACATTCACTGTGGCCACGTTGATTAAAACCGGAAAATGAGACGGAAAATGTGTGACAAAAGGCGAAACAACGACGAGGGGAGTTCCATTTTGTGAACGTTAATAGTTGTCATAGTGGGGGAACTGATCCCGTGTCAGTTTGTGACGTTCCATTAATTTCTAGTGGAAAAGTTTCACGCTCACTACAGTGTCTCGCCGCACCGCTCCCTTTTCTCTACTCCGCCACCCTGTCCGCCTCCGCCACGAAAATAACGCCGCTGTGACAAACAAGACAGCGGCGGCTAAATAACTGCTAACGCCACAAACACGAACATAAAAATTAAAAACAGAAAGAAAGAAACACATCCGAGCGACTGCAGTGTTGCGGGAGGCAGATTTGTGGGCAGCTTTCTTTCTCTCCTACTCACCGGAGCTGATGTACACAGACGGCAACTGTGTTGCTGAGTCCGCCGGGTCAAATAGGGCAGGGTGTGCGCCGCGGCCGCTTCACGCCGTGCGGCCGCTGTAGTTCATTTTTCTCCGGCAAAAGCAAGTTATAAAAAGGAGGAAGGAGGAGAAGAAGAAGGAGGGAAGAAAAAAAAAAAACTACTGCCCTGTATTTTCTACACTACAGTCGCAAAATGGTGAATGAAGCCCCCGAAAGCCTTGACAACCAGCCGGCGCCACCAATCGCGAGGCACGAACGCGTACAGTAGCCAATGGCGAGTCTCGGACGGAGCGAGGGGGCGGTGCCCGGTGTCAAAGCAGGGTTGACTGACAGGGCCGTGTGGCCAATCAGAGTGTGGGAAAACAGAGAACAGCTGTTAGGGAGAGCGAGGCTGCGGCGGCCAATCAGGAGCCTCTGTGGGAATGGCCGTCACTCGTACAGACTGAGGGCTCTCTATGTGAAGTCTGTAACATTTAAAGGCACATTTTGTAATTTTCAGGGAGCGATTTGATAAGAAAACCACAGACATACGTTTATAATTATATGAATTTGCTTAAATAATTAAATATAAATTAAATAATTCGATTTCAAATTAACTTGAATTTTTACTGTGTTTTATCAGTAAAACATCCACCAAATATCCAGCTCTGCTGAGTGATATCTACTTCCATAATGAGGTATATTAACACCACAACACTAAAGTGCAGCTGATTAATGACTCATAATTAGAACTCTTTTACATCATAAGAGTCATCGAACATCGTACAGAAGACGCGGTGGAGACGCGGTGCAGATGTGGTCTGCAGCTGTGACAGTCAGCCCGTAGTGCTCTGCTGGTTCCTCCGGAAGTTCCTCTGGTTAAAAATAAAACGACAGTATTTCTCCCCCTCGATCAATACGATGCCAATAATCTTTTTCTGGACGTCACATGATCTGAATCGCGGCCAACTGATGACGCAGGTGTGTGTGTGTGTGAGAGACTGATGGACAGATGCACAATAGGTGACGAAGATATTAAGAAAACAAAAACAAAGTCTCAACCACTGGCTTCTGATTGGCTGATAACTCTCCCTGATCCAGACTGAAGGACGATTTTCTTTTTACAAAAAACAAAAAAAAAAAACAAACTGGAGTTAGTAGTCACGTCATGAACTAGTTAATAATATCCTAGACTTTGACTTGACAGTCTGACTGATTCAAGGAAATTTTTTTTTTCAGCCAAAGTCAGTTGATTCAACAGGCGTTTCGTAACTGAGCTGAACAGAAATAACTAAAAAAGAAGTTACAGCTCGACATCTGCCTGACCAGAACATACAGCACCGGAGTCGTCACTATGACAACATTAACAGTACAACAAGTACACCGGAGTACAGAGAAGAGGAAGGAGGAGTATTTATGTCTGAAAACTGGTCGGATGTCCCTCAACGTTCGACCCTGACACTGATCACATCTAATTAGACACCAGGATCGACCCAGACCCAGACCCAGATCCAGTTACACAGCTGCCTCCAGATGTCTGTGTCACATCACTGTTTCCGTTCACACGCTGATACGTGTGTTCTGCACAGGGCTCCATGAGAGCCGCACGTCTGAGTGTAGTTTCAACAGGAAGTACCAAAAAAAACACCAACTCCCAAACGCTCACACTTCTCTCTCTCTCTAGCTCACAGCTAATCAGACTCGCCCTCTGCAGCTCAGCATCCCTAAGTCCCGCCTTCACAGAGAAGCCGAGCGAGCAGTGGAGGCCCGTGTGTCACCTGACTGGCGCCCGATTGGCCGAGAGCCCCGGGGTTTGCGGGCCAATGAGCTGGCGCTGCGGTGAGGTCATGATTCTGCTTGTTGCCATCAGCTCGGCCAAACAGGAAGAGTGAGTAAGTTAGTACAAACAGAGAGATGATGGTTCCTGGGAGAGTGACCCACATACACTGAGGGAGCGCCTGCACCTACACACACACACACACACACACACACAGCAGAGAGAGTGTGCGCAGGTACAGACTGTAACTCTGAGGAAGAACACAGGCTATAAAACAAAATCCTCTTTACCGTGCATGACTGCACACATGTAAACACACACACACACACACACTCTGAGCAGTGAGTTCCTGCTGCCGTCTCATAACACACTGCAGCAGCAGCAGCAGACACACACACACACACGTACGCAGAGGAGGTGCAGCAGAGCTATAACACGCCTGGGCGTTACATAATAAGTACATGTACAACATGAACATGGACACAGTCACACAGTCACACACACACACACACACACACACACCTCTGTGTGTGACTGTTTTACACTGGTTGACACGGACGATGATTCTGTAACGTCCAAGTGTCTGAGGTCAAGGTTTACTGTTTTATAAATATTTTAAAAAATCCATTTTATATATATGAGTACTGCATTAACCATCGTGTATCACGATACCAAATACTACAGATACTACAGTCACTGTGATATACTGAGGTGGAAGTTTTCACTGACACCTTTGGTCAAGTACGGCCAGTAGTATTAGGAAAGTACACGTAAGTACTGAAACACTGCAAGAGGCTGAAGTATTTGTTAAATCCTACTGAACGCTGGTAGAGAGACAGTGTAAACCACTCGGTCAAAACAGGAAGTGGTTTTATATTTTGGCCTAAGGAACAACTAAAATAAAAAAAATTTAAATTAAATTAAAACTAAAACAGTTCCAGGAAGAAGAGGAAGAAACTGTCGCGGCCCAGATGAGTTAAACTGACACCTGGTACGAAAGGTCAAATCTTCTGGGTAACTGTAACGTGTGGTGACTGGAGGAAACATGGGGGCGGGGGGCCGGGGGGGGGGTTAGGTCAGGGGGGAGCCAGACGCATGAGGGTGAGGAGAATCATCCAGGACAGGAGGAGGAGGAGACAGGAGGAGGTGTGGGACAGGGACGGTCACACTGGTCTCAGTAAAAGACACCGAGGTTGTGGGTGAATGATCTGGACTTAGTGCCTCTGAGCAGGTGGTGAGAATCAAACACAGAGCTGCCGCTAATCCCAGTCACTGTACACTAAACCAATCAGAGCAGCTTCAGGAGTGAACTGAGCACGACCTCGCTCTCTGGTTGGTGTGTGTGAGTCGACAACAACCAGACGTCTAACGTCCTCCACACCACCTGACTGACCACATCTGTTTTTAACGGCTGAATCTCAACATCCAGGTCTGTCTGTGAATACTGACTGCCCCCCCCCCGACCTCTCTGACCTCAGCAGGGGTCAGTAAAGGCCCGTGTGAATTCCAGAACCAACAGAACTAAAAGAGAAATCTCACTGATTACAGTGTCATCCAGACCATAATAGTCTGACGGCCCTAATTTAATTTAATTAATTACATAATTAATTTTTTTAAATCAATATGTACTGATTTTGTATTTAATGCAGTTTAACTTTAAATTCCCTTTTTTTTCCGGTTTTCCCCTTTTGCAGTTACTGCTGTTGACCAGAAGATGGCGCTATCTGACCGTATCTTGAATTAAAAAAGCAAGCTGTGTAAATTCCTTTCCCCGTTTGAACATCAGAGATTTTCCTTTGATGAGGGTTTGTTTGACCTCACTCTGACCCCCCCGCCCCCCCATGACCCCCGGAGGTCGCGGTTGAAGTACATCAGGTTTTACGGCCACTCAATCACTGACACACTCACTGCTTTTATACAGTTCTTAATGAACACGTCGGGGTTAAAGTTGTACAAAATCTGTGGTTTGAACCAAGGAATAAATTAATTCTTTAAATTTGTTTAATTACTTTATAGTTATTTATACTATGTATATTTATTTATACTTAAGTATTGTGTATATTATTGCAGTGGTACGTGTGTACTTCTTAATTACAAATATTTGTGTTTTAATTCCAGGACTCTTTACTGAGGATTTTATATTTTCTTTGACCGTCGTCAGATTATTTTTTTAAATCTAAGTTTAGACTTCATTTGTGGTTTTTCTCACCGGGTCTTAAGTGTTCCAGGTCCACGGCTCCCAGTGGTGAAAGTGAGGGGGCGCGGCCTCAGCGGGAGTCCTGCAACAATACATGATAATTAGCCTTCTGTTGTGATCTGGTTTCTGTCTGATGCAGCTCTCTGGACTGTGACCCCTGACCTCGTCCCTCACTCAGACCACAATCCCTCTCTGCTGGAGACCAAACAGGCCGTCAGTCAGAGTGTCATTAATGAGGCCGCGCTCCCCCCCGTGGAGATCAGCAGCCAATGAATGGGTGAAAAAACACAGGGCAGGGGAGACAGGAGGCCTTGGAGGGGGAGGACGGGGGGGAGAAGGGGAGAGGGCTGTGGGAGGGAGAAAAAAATGATGATTAGGATGATTAACAGGTAAGGAGGGGAGAGGGCTGTGGGAGGGAGAAACAAATGATGATTAGGATGATTAACAGGTAAAGACAGTGAAGGAAGAGTTGAAATAAAACTTTGTTTCCTTGATTTAACCCACGCTAGCATTTGTTGTTTACACCAAACTCTTGTCTTTACATAAAAAATATAACTGTTTTTTTTCTCCAAATTTGGTGAATTAGCCTGAATTTAAGTTCAACTTCTTTATTAATGGCTGACAGGAACGTACCTGGAACGGTTTATTTGTGTCCAGAGAAGTTCTCCTACAAACCGTAACCACTTGTGAACCGACACTTATTAGCAGCCATGCTACGTTTAAGACCTGCTAAACTAGCTAAAATGGACGCACCAACACGCAGCAAATGTACGTAACGAAGCGGCCGCCATGACAGCGCCTTAATTAACGACCAGTATCAAAGAACCGAGTTTTAATATTACTGTTTTTGCTCGTAATATTCTCTGAAGTTTGAGATGTAGCGAATCATTTGTAAATAGCACCGAGTAAAGTTTATTGTAAGCTAAATGCCTCGAGGCCAAGGTAAAAGTACTGGTTTATTTGTTAATGTTTTAATAAGTTTTAAACTTTCTTACTTTTTAGTGAAATCGTGGTTAAAGGATAAACACACTCAACCACGAACCCGCCTCGTCTTCTTCTAAATCTCGCGATAAGTGCCCGGGCCAGTCAGTGTTCGGTGGGGAAACAAAGCAAATGCGCACTACCAAAAACGGACCGCAGAGGGCAGCAGACGCAGCATTATCCAGTCACTCTATTTCTGTTGAAAGTGAAATTAATTCCTCGGGCTCTGAGCTGCTTTTTAACGAGCTTCATGTTTAAACACGGAGACACTTTGTTCTGGAAACCGTCCAAGTACTGATCACGTGACTTTTATGGCAGCGCAGGGAGATTCGGGTAAGAAAAGGGGGACGATGAAGAAAAGAAGTAGGCCAACGGACTGAGTTATAATTTGCTTTAGTCGACTGTGTTATTACGTCGACACTTTTGATGTCTGCTATCAGAAAGACGTGTCTGAAATACTGATTCTGGGAAAAAATATTTTGGCTTGGTTAGAAATATTTTTTTTAGTAATTATCTTGTTTTTTTTACCTGAAAATATTCCTGGTATTTGTTACAGGGACGGATCGTATACGTATTAGTTAAAGGTTATTTTAGCATTTGCTTCAACAATGACTCAGTTGATTTGGGGACGTTTGACCATCTGGGATCTTTGGTTCGTACTTACCTCAGTGACAAACTTACCAGAGGGGGGCAGCAGTGGGTTCGAAGAGCTAAAACAGTTTGGAAACTCCCCTTTCCATCAGATATTCAACGATCGTGAATAAATGACTAGACATAAATAAAACATGTAATGTAAAAAAAAAAAAAAAAGAATAACATTTTCAGTCACTTTTTGGGTTAAAAAAAAACTAAAGACATTTTTTTTAAATGTAAATAGGAACAGGAGCCGGTGTCTATATATTTTTTTAACCTTTTTTTTTAATGAACCCTGATTATTGTTTAATTACAAATGAAGATGAACAAATAGAAGAGAAACAGAAGTACAGGAGGATCCTCTGTGATTACAAAAAAATAAAAAATAAAAGTACGAGCGTCCGTCGCTCCTCGGCACAAACACTCCAGTCACGGAGGTGAAGGTGAGCGGAGAGACGGAGACCAGCAGAGAGAGGAAAAGAATTCAAATAATACAAGGCTTCAACAGTACAACGCTCTTTTCTTACAGAAACCTCCAGAAATGGAAAAAAATATATATGTACACAACATCAAATTAAACGAACGCAAAAGTCTCTTTACTCCCGTCAGTTTGTCACAGGGACGCAGGAGGGACCGTCCTCTGGTCCAGGGTAAAACGTAGAAGATAAAATCAGTTAAGTACAAAAAAAAAACCAACAACAACAACAGCACTGATGATGAAAAATTAAAGTTCATGTAGACGAGTGCAAACTGAAATTAAAACCTCACAAAAAAAAGGAGAACAGGAATCGATGGCGCAAGAGATAAAAAATTAAAAAAAACAAAGAATTAAAAAAAAATTAAAAGTTAATAATACACGGTAATAATTACAAAAGTAACAGTAATACGTCTGGAAACTAACAGGGGGCAGTGATGAGAACGGCGACATGAAAACTGAGGGGGGCAGGGGTCAAACTTTACCCTGGTGGAGAAAAACTTCACTTTTCTCCTGAGTTTTTTTTTTTTAAGTCTCGAGGTTTTACGGCGGCAGCGCAGGTGAAAACGAGCGAAAGGAAAATTGGCAAATTAGCCAAACGCTGGCAGTGCATTACTGGCCTGTAGGAATAACGATTTGGGGCGCAGACCTCGGATGGTACTTAAGTGAGAGTTGTGAGGTCGGACAAGATCGTCAAAGTACGAACCGGGTGGGATGTGGTCTGTAGACCGAAGGCTGAGCAGAGAGTGGGCCATGAGAACAAACTGGGTCTCTGTAGTTTAATGACCGTTTGCTGAATGGTAACTGGACAGTAGACACATTAGCACCCTCTGATGGACAACTATGTCAATGCAGCTCAAACCAAAGACCATCTTCTGTCTGATCCACCCATTAGGCCACACCCAACTTTTCTAACCAATGACAGCAAACCTGTGGTCCACTCTATGTCTCTAACTGTAACTGATTATAAAAGAGAAGAATGTCCATTTCATGACCCATTTTCTCTGACACCAACAGTGAGGTTTGACCCACATTTGTCCTTCTGCGTTTGAAAAGAAGGAATGTGAGTAATTCCAGTGAGCGTGTGGAAGGACAGCTGAACCGGTTTGTTTCCGCCCGAGGAAGAAAAATGATCTTAAAAAAAAAAAAAAAATCCCCGGCGACACAGCTGTCCATCTGGGTTGGAAACTACACAGAAGCGGCCCACGGCCCAACAAGTAGACTGGCCCACACTGTTTGTTCATCCCACGGCCCACAGATTGGTGACAGCCAGGTGAAAACCTGCCGTCCAATCAGCAGCTGCCTCCTTCAGAGTGTTAAATTACAATTCCACACCCTGATTAGGCACACCACCCGGGCCGCTGCCGCCGCTGTTCCAGATGTGATGAAACAAACGTACCCACAACAACAACAACAACAACAAAAAAACTGGATTTAACTCTGTTTATGTCAAAGGTCCACGCTGGCTCGTTGACCCCGGCCACGCCCTCTGACCCCTGAATGCATGATAACATTTTGAGTTTAATTTTCATAAATTCAAGAATATAAATATAAATCTCTGACAGCGTCGACGCTCGATGATTCCAGAGAAGAGAAGGCAAGGGTGAGAAGGCTAAGGCTGAATTACACTGCTGATAATATGCCCATTAAAATATTTATATATATTTATATACTGTAAATATATATACACACACGTCTTTACCGTTAAAAATACGAGGATTCTTCCTGGTTTGTATCAAATGACCGTATTGAAATATATTTGATTTTCTTTCCTTAATATATATTTGAATAAAATATATATATGTGTAGATTTTCTTTTTCTGTATTTGACTTTTACAAAAAAACAGAAGGCATGTTGGTAGGGTGCGATAAAATATTTTTTTCGTTTGGGGATTTTAGCTAAAAGTCATATTGTATTTTTTTTTTTCTTTCTCAAAGGCACATTTTTATTTGGACTTTTCAAAAATGGGCAAAAAAAAAATCTCTTATTTTTTTGTTTTTTTTCCTCAAACTAGACGATTAAAAGTTGATAAAAAATAAAAATCTACATCTGTCTCGGTTGAAGGTTTTGCCTGAGTTGACCTCGACGCTCCACATTCACGACATGGTTCCCGTTCCTCCCCCGAGACTAAAGTCAAGATCGTGACTCCTCAAAAAAACATCACGTGAACAAATCAAGGCTTTTCTTTTTCTTTTTCTTCTTCAATTATCTCAAAAAACAAACGCCCCAGGATCACTGCACGGAAAAAGGAAATGCCCCAAAATACTGTCCACGTCCTCTGGAGGTTCAGGTCTCTTCAGACAGAGAGGGGTTTTTTTTTCTTTTTCTTTTTTTTAAACAGTAGCGAGGAGGAGCAGGAGGAGGAGGAGCAGCAGGAGGAGGAGGAGGAGGAGAGGGGAACACAGAAGAAAACTTGCTCTGGAGAGTCCAAGGAAAATAAAAAAAAAAAAATCTAGAAAGTTGATACACAGAGTCGTCCCTCCGTCTTCAGGCCCTGATGTTTTACCACCACACACACACAAATCAGAAGCCAGAGTGTGTGTGTGTGTAATTACAGCCCTGCAGGAAGCTGCTTCCTCGTTTCCTCCCGTCAAGTGTGGAGGAGAGGGAGATGACACGCCCCCCGGTGGCGGCTCTGTACAGTGGGAACCCAGAGAATTCTCCGGCTGATAAAAAAAAAAACGTCAGAGGAACTCGTCCACCTGCCGGCCTCTCAGCTGACTTCACCTCGTCTTTGTCCACGGTGGTGATGGAGACGAGGACAGAGAGCTCCATCAGTTCAGCTCTGACCTGGTCCGAGGCCACAGCCCCCCCCCACCCCCTCACTCTCTTCCACCTTGTAAACGACTGTGACCTCCGAGGCACTTCTTAAAGTCTTCTCTTAGTAACATCACCAGAGCGGAGAAGCTGATTGGTCGATGGAGATGGGTTTAATCAGGCGCTGCGTCTCCTCTCAGACAGAGGAGTTATAAAAAGGAGGTCGGCTCCGTCCCGAGAGCCGGGCGGGGGCGGAGGAAATCCTCTCCGTCAGCGGGATGTGAACCATCAAACCCCGTCTTCCTGGGACTCTTGTAAACTGATGTGTGATCAGTGGCCGCGCCGTCACACTCATCAGGCCGTGGAGAAAAAAACACACACAGAGCTGATGACATGTGGCATGTTATTATGCAAATCAACAGAGTTAATATGACCCATTTTCTCGTCTGTGAAAGGCTGTAATTGTCACATTCATCCAAACTGATTCAGGCACTTTGACTGCAGCGCACGTGTGTGTGTGTGGGTGTGTGTGTGTGGGGTAGGAGGTCTTTTTCTCTGACGTTTGGGGGGGGGCTGCACACACAGGTACATCTGTGGGGGGGGTCCAGGGGGGTAAATTGATTCTTTATATAGATCATAATGATTAATGCTCAGGACGGAGGACAAACGTGGGACGGTCAAAGAGACGGTCCAGACATGTGGTCCAGTTCTGGGAGCAGCCTGAGTTCTGGTTGGTTGTTTTTTTTTTAAACATCACAAAATAACAAATTTGAACGTTTATCTTTCTGAACTTAAGCCAAAACCAACTGTGACCTCCAGCATTGAGCGACTGATAAAAGCTGGACTGTCCCTTTAAAGCCCAGTGAGGGGACGTCGTCACGGTGGAGTAACATAAGGGGCGTGTGGGGCTGTGAGGTCAGTGAAAAGTGCCCAAAAAAACCCCTCCGCATTTGACTACAGAGAAACAGTCACACGCCAACAACAAACACCTGCTGCAAGGCATTGTGGTCTATATCAAACTGTTAAACGCCACTTCCAGAGGTGTGTGTGTCTGTGTGTGTCTGTGTGTGTACGAGCAGTTCCTTTGTGTTTAGTGTGCCCGTGACAGTGCACGTGAAGCTCAGCAGCCGGTGTTTTCCAGCGACAGCTGCGCCGTCGCCCTCTGCAGCTCAGAGCTGGCTCTGCGCTGGGTGGGAGGTGGAGGGAGCATCAGCCCCAAAATAACACCTTTCCTCTCAACATTTTCCAGCTCCGCTCCTCTCTTCCTCCCCCCCGCCTCCTCCATGGCCTCCCCCTTCGTCTCCAGTCCACCGTCAGCCCTGACTTTCTTGTCCTCCGCCTCGTCCCTCTCTCCATCCGCTTCCATCTTCTGGTCTTCGCTCCAGCGACGCTTGAAGCGCAGCTTGAGGGGGATGCAGCGCGTGCCCCCGGGACTGATGGGCGCGGCCTGACCCGGCT